AAGTCTCCACATGGGAGGTTATTGGCGTGCAAAACAAATAAGATCATACAATTGACAATGTACTGGGTGATGTCTTTTATTTAAAGCTCTTAACAGCATGTTTGCCTTCAAACAGGATCATTATGGGATTTGTATAATCCTTCTTTGAATTAAAACTAGGCATGTATATTATAGATTGATTGATAGAAACATGCATACAAGTGCAAGCCTTTACACAGACAGCATCATCTGTATAAAGTTCAACAATGTTTGATTATTGTAAATATTGTATCACCTTCCCACATCTCTCTCTGCCTGTCTGCAGTACATACATCCTTGACTGTAACATCTGCACACACACACACGGATTACTGCATTCAGCTCACAACTGCAGTTTTCTCTGGGACAGCAAGCGATGACATCACTGACAAAAGCTTTTCCGAATAACAGGTTTAAAAAAAAGAAAACAGTAACTGAAGAGGATAACATTTCTATTGCAGAAATGTGCTCAAAATCTAAAGGTTAACAAGAAGGTTAAAGAAAAAACATTTAATTCCTTAAATAAATCTTTGGAAATTGTATAGACTCATTTTGAAATACCATTAGAAGCCAAACACTTTAGAAATCAAAACTCTTCACATGCATTTTGATAGATTTCCACATGAACTTGACATGATGCCCCTGAATGCCACATTTATTCAGCATAAAGGTTAAAAAATGAAACTCAAACAGCCTCCTTCTGCTCCAGTTTAACCCTTGTCCCCCCCCTTATGGCGGTGCACAGTCAGCAGACTCCAGTGAAGGTCAGTGAAGGTCGCTGCATGATCCCACAGTATGGAACAGGAATGATTTATAAATATCCTGCCAGTGTGACACACCCAAACCACAACCACAGACTATTTTTCATTACGTAAGAACCTGAGATAGTGTTTCTGATTAACCAGATAAACATTGTTAAACTTTAGTCTAACATTTTCTATTCATTAAAACTTACCTTCTGGTCCATATCGTTAAAATAAGAAGCGAGCAGAGACCCAAAAAGAATTCAGTTAAATTCTTTAAGCTAAAAATAAGCTCTGACATTTATTGTTACAAAAAGACAGTCAGATTTGATACAGAAATAGATAAATTAAGGGCAGATTTGAAGCAAATGTAAGATGTATAGAGTTATAGTTAGATGTTGGGGTAAAGACACACTATGGTACATACACTGTGACATTATCGTAAAACTCTCCTGGGTCAAAGGTCAAGTGGAAAGCTCCTGTAAGAGGAGACGGTAGAGTCCACTTCAAAAAGAATTTCACACGAGGCTTTCCAACTCCAGCTAGAGGATCATCACTGTGTGTGTGTCAGAGTACCAGGCAACAAACCGCTGCGCTGTTTTTAGAGAACCACGATGACTTCCTGCCATATTTCCATCTCGATTGGTTGGACATTGATGGTCCCCAGAGGATATCTTCTTTTTTTTATACTTTATCTTTTTTTAAAACATACACAAGACAAATGAAAAAATTAATTAAGAATGCGTGAAAAGTGCCAACATTTTAAATAAATTAAATTACAATTATAAAAAAAAATCTACTTCAAAAAACTGTATTTCTTGATTTTTTTGGCTGTAGTGTTGCTTAGATATAAGATCCCCATGAATCCATCCTGCGACTGTTTGCTGTGTGTCATCCCCTCTCTCTACCCCTTTCAACACTGTCACTTCCCTCTATAGGCAGAGGTTTGCAGATTAAGGTGATAATAAGAAAGGATTACGGAAAAAATATTGTATCGCTTATCCATCATACTTTTATTTGTAACATTGCAGCCTCTCTGGGACATTCAGGCATCTTGGATGATAAAGCGTTATCTTTTGGATGGACAATGGATGATTAGCTTTCACAGTGAGACACAGTAGGAGCTGAATAACCATTATAGGGTGATGATTTGAAGGCTTTGTCAACTCAAGGACAACCTTACTCAGCATTTGAAGACAGAGCAATGGCCAGTGTTAAGACTTTAGCCTTTGCAGAAATCAAACATTGGTTCAACAGTGGCTTAACTGTTCAGATGTTGGACAAACCCTGTGTGTGTGTACTTGTCCAAAAGTCTATGTGAGATAGCAGGAGACATACAAAGAGAGAGTTAACTATAAGTAGAGTGTTTGAGTGGTGTCACTTGTAAGCCTTGTGTCTAAATTAAGGATTACCTTCAACCTTAGAAAAGTGCACACGCTCCCTGCTGCCGCGTTAGCACCAGTGAGGGGGGTGAGTTGCATTTACACGCCACACACATGACCCAGGAGAATGCATTTACATCACTTCTGCTGGCTCTTTAGAAAGGGGTTTTATCACAGATCTTATCCAAGTTTTGTATGGTGACACAAATTGAACATATTGACATCAGAGGCTTTCAGTGTAAACAGAACCTCTAAATAACATCATGTGTTGTTACATTTGGAACTCTGCAATAGGGCAAACGGGCAAAAGTTCCCTGAACTCTTGTTTTCAAATAGAATGGATCCAAGAAATCACGTGATTTTCACCTGGTCAGTTGACCCTGTTTGAAGTGAGGCAGATGAGTCCAAGAGGCATTTTTTGGCTAAAAGGTGCAACGTGTTTATTATGCAAAGCTTGAGGGTCAATAGGCTCCCAAAAGAATTGTTCTTTTTGGATAGTTAGGCTTTTTCAAATGCTTACAACTGCTGCTAAGACATTTCACAGGCTGTTACATATGTATATGAAGAAGACGCACAGTGGCAGGTCTAAATGTTGCTGTTGTCATAATAACCTTCATACAGTACGCAAATATTATACAGCTAATGTTAAGTGGGAAAAAGGGTTGTACATTTTCCTCTGAATGAGTTTTATGAATGAAGATAATGGATGTATAATCAGAACATGTAGAGGATGATTTTAAAATGGAGGCTCTGTGGTCCAAACCAAGACGGCAAACATTATTACTCCTTTTTGAACCGTGACAAAAGCAAAGATACCAAATCCACTCGTTCTGTGTAACTGTTAACCACAGGAAAACTCAAAGTCTATAATACAGCTGACAGTATTTTACGCTAAACAATGTTGTATCTATGTCTAAAGTGCTTAACCCTTGTGTTATGTTCACATTTCGCACCCTTTGGTAATGTTCGGGTCAAATTGACCCGGGACATGTTTCAGGGTTTAAAAAAAATACAGAACAAAATTCAACAAGCACAATTCCTTATATATATTGTCTTTAACTCATTCCCCAACAATATAAATGAAATATATGATTCGTTTTTGAAAATACTCTTTGCTAGATCAAATTTAACAATGGAAGTGTCCATCGTTTTTTGTGATAAAAATGTAATTTATGTTAAAAAAATATACACTATAATAAAAACTAGGTTTACATTTTGCTCATGCTTTTCTAGGACAAATGTAAATGAAACATTTTTTCATTAATGTTTATTATTTTTAATCTGTCATAATAATCAAAGCCCTGAAGGAAATAAAGCAATTTAACAGTAATTGAAACACAAGAACCACACATCCGAAAGTATTTGGCTGTGAAATATATAGAGATGATGAAACATCCATATAAATGACATACAGTAGAACAGATATAAACACAAAGCAAATAAAAACAATTAACAGTCACTATTCATAAAATACAGTATATCCGAAAAATATATTGATGAAGTTCTTCTAATGCATTCCACTCACTCTCATCCATTATTAGCTCCAAGGCTCTCTGAGCAGAATATATTTTGGCCATTTTGCTGGTAGATAATTGTAGTTCTGCACTATACACTGTAATGTGCGGTTATGTCTCTGTTTAGGCCCTCCTCCGGCGTGCAGGTGCGAGGGGGACAGTGCGAGAAAATGTAAAATGTTTATACATATCTGGAAGATCTAAAATGTTTATAATGTTCTAGGATAGTTTTGTGTACACACTACAAAGGGTAAAGATCAAGGCAAAACAGGATCAAACAGCTTTTGTGTGTGTGTGTGTGTGTGTGTGTGTGTGTGTGTGTGTGTGTGTGTGTGTGTGTGTGTGTGTGTGTGTGTGTGTGTGTGTGTGTGTGTGTGTTGTGTGTGTGTGTGTGTGTGTGTGTGTGTGTGTGTGTGTGTGTGTGTTCATTGTTGATTTTTTTATCTGTAAATTATTATTCTTTTCATTTCAAAGTCTGCATGGCTTACTCTAAATTCTTCTATTTGCCAGATTGCCAATGAACTATAACTCATTCTTCCCATAATGCATCTCCCCTCCCTCTCCCAGCACTGCTTTCTTTTGGTTCCATCCCCTGAAATAACCTCCCGCTTCCCTGCAGTGCAGATTAATCATGTACGGGACTGGCGAAACATTTCATTTGTGCATGCGTACGTTCGTTCCTTGGCTGGAAGATGAAGAGCACCCTCTTTTCAGACGCAGTGAAGTCACCTTCAGCACGGCGCTCAGTGGAGCTGACAAGTTGGCAGGGAAACACGCCTGCTAATGGCGCTTTCTCTGCGTGAGCCACCTCTGAGCCAGCTGGACTCAGAACAAGGTCACCAGCTCGGCTTTTGGTCTGAATCACAGAAATGTAAGAAGGTATCAGTTAAAATATTGAATCTGTCTCAGGCTGTTTGTTTGTCGCAACAACAGTAAATGATTCACATGGATTGAGAGAGCAAAAGCACAGCATTTGTACATGTCGATGCTTGGTTGAGAAATAATTGAGTGGACCTGCTGTAAGCAGTTTAAAAACAATCATTTGGAATGGAGATCTGCAAATCTGTCTTCACAAATGGATCGCAGCATCCCCTTATCTATATATATATATATATTGTGTAAAATAATAATATATTAGCTTTAACATAAGTGTTGACAAGATTAAAAGATTCACAGAATATAAAAAAGACACTAAAATAAATACATAGAATTGATCAACTTCAATGCAGATTTTTTATATTATTTCCTCATGTGCTTAGCTAATAATACATTTCAACTTCAATCAAATCCGGAAAATGTGGACTCAATGAATGAACTGGTATAATAAACACATAGATTTGACAGACTTGTTAGATTTGTTTATTTGGTAACAAACTCTACCTCAATGACATTCAAAAGAAGCATTATCTCCACAGTATTGCATAACAAGATATTTGCATAAAACTTACATGATTTGTGATAGAAGTCTATTTCGATTAAAAGCATACACATGACCAAGAAAGTGACTGTATTAAGAAAATAGACAATACACCTTAAGACATTCACTCAACTTAAAATGAAGAAAATTACCGCTTTAAAAGAAAAACACTGTTTTGATGTATTATAACACATTATTAGAAAAATCATGTTTAAAAGGCACATTGATAGAACAACAATGGGACAGTGGTACATGCACACAGTCCGGCGAGATAAAGAAGCATCAACTATATCAAAGTTAAGAGGCAAACACATTAGAATACCTGATATAACACCAGTATACAATATACATTTATTGCTTTCTTTATTGCTGTAGTAAAAGTGAACTATGTGCATTTATTCTCAGACATTGTTGGAGAGTACTTAAGCAGCATAAGGACAGTATAATAAAGTCTCCATTCACATTAATCAAACACTTGCATTAAGTAGAGCTTTTTAAAGAGGTGCAATTTGCATAATCACAGATACTGCCACGGAAGAAAGGAAGACGTCTCATGTAATGCTTCTGTATTTTGAAGGCAATCTTCAAAGTTCCCTCAAAGATCCATTTAATCACTGTCTAGTTTAGAGGAATCCTCTAAGACAAATCCCATTAGATAACTAAAGTATGCCATTGTGTGGATAACCCTAACCCTAACCCTTCAGGTCAAAACACGTGTGGCCAAATACTGTTCAAATTCAAATCAAGTTGTAAAACCATAACGATGGATATACATTACCATACGATATAAACTCTCTGGATCCGTATCCACCACCAATACTGAACATGCCCTTGTCAATCTTTTTCGAACCTCGCCTTTTAGAAGAGTCCCCAACGTTGGTGCACCAGCAGATCGTCTCCGTAACCCGTGTCAAGATGGTGGTTGCCGCCTTCCTCCCAGCGACACACCTCTCCCTTGTCCACCACCACAAACTTCCACTCCACGTGACTCTCCGCGGGCAGGCTGACCACCGTGGCCCAGTGCCCGTTCTTGGCTCTCTCAAGCGGGATGAATTCCTTCCAGTTCCCAAGCTCCTGCTGGTTCCCCGTGACAGCCACCGTCTGGTTTGGCAATTGGGTGATATAATGGACGCGGAAGGTCACGTTAACGTTCTGGGGCATGGGCTGGACCGCCACAACCTTCTTGTTATTTTCCGTGTTATCGTCGACGAGAGAGAGAGTGCTGGTTTGTTGGACATCAGTAGAAGGTGGGATTTCTATTGGATCCACACAAGTGGTGTCCGTTGAAGCCGAGCTGTTTTGGCTCTCTTCAGTGGGAAGCTCGTTGGTTTTTGTAAGGTCTTGAGGAATAGATAAAGCAGAAAGATTCATCCAGGGAAGGGTTTGGTAGTTTCCATCCATGATCCATTCATTATGGTCCATAGTTGCCTCCATGATACTGATTTCAGTCTTTTCGTAGTCCTCTTCTTTCTCTGCTTTTGTTTCCTCTTTCTTTTCAACACTTACTCCTGCCTTCTGTTCTTTAACCTCTACAACCTCTACAACCTCTACAACTTTCACATCTGACTGTTTGTCCAACTCCTCGACAAAGCTAGTAACACTATTTGCAATCTCCGCCGCAAACTGATCTATCGCTCTTCTGTGGTAACTCTCCTCGATCTCATGGCCAAACATGTCCTTGTTTGCTGCTAATGATTCATAATCAGTCCAACTTGTTTGCTCGCTGTGGGGTTGCTGGGAGTGATGGGATGGGAAAGGTTGGAACACCATACCTGCCGTATCGTCTTCAATGCTGGATATGGCTGCATCATTAGCAAAGAGGATCTTTTGAGCCTCCATCTGTCCGTCAGACTTTAGATAACAATCCATCATCGGAAGCACTGTATGTTCAAAGATCACGTCAAAGTCGTTCCCAGCATCAGGGCTGACAGCCATGCTTGAAATCCCACTCTCTACACCAGCACTACCAACCAATGATGGGTCATTATCCCTCATTTCGAATTGCTCGAAAGATGGCAAGCGAATTTGACATTTCGGAGGCTTATTGTCCTCGGTCATGACGGAAGCAGCACCAGTGGTATCTTCAGGAATTATTTGTTGGTCACTTTGTTGGTCTTGGGAGGAAGATAACATGTCAGGATGGGATGGTTCCATAGGCATTATTAGTGAAGTGGTTGTAGAATGGTCACAGGCAGGGGCATCGATGTCGGATTGAACCGTTATTTTGTCCAAAGTTACATTATTCTCCATGTGGTCACTTTGTTGGTCATGGGAGGAAGACAACATTACAGGACAAGAGATAGCTTCTGACATTAGTAGTGCGGTGCAGCTAGCATTTTTGCAAGCATCAGGGTCATCGACTCTTGTCTCGTCGACATTTTCATTTGTTTCTACATGGTCACTTTGTTGTTCTTGGCAAATGGGGCGCAGTTGAGGACACAATATTTCTTCAACAATTACAGAATCAGTGCCATTTTCAATTGTGTCCGTATCAGCAGCCTTTTGAATATCTTCTGGGGTAGCAATGTTTTCACCATCACTGGCAACTACATCAGGCTCATCAGAAACACTTGCCTCGTCCCAAGCTTCATTCCTTATCATTTGGACATTTTCTATGTCTTCATAGCGAGATTGAACATGAGGTTCATACACTTGGTCATCGCGTTCTTCAGCCAACGCCACAGCTGTACCATTCTGGATGTTTTCATGCTGATTTCCTGTCTCTTGTGACGATATGTGAGGGCAAATAATGGTAATATCAGTGTCTTCATCAAGAGATGAAGCTGTTTTATATTCTCTCTGTGGACAATCTGATGACAAGTCGATGAAATCTTCAATGCCTGAGATTTGAGCGTTTGGTTGATCAGTTGTCATACCTGACAGACTGTCATCATGACCTTCATCCTTTAAACACTCCTCCTCTGCCTCCTCACATCCATTTCCCTCATCCGGAGAGAAGTAATTATCAGCGGAATAACTATTGCAATCAATACTTTCTGGGTCCTCTTCTTCAAACTCTTCATTGTCATAACAAACACAAGGAACAGGTACATCTTCTATATGAATGACAGGCTCTTCAGAGTCCTCCATGTCGTTTGTTGTTTTATTATCTTTGTCTTCATCACTGTTTTCACTCATATGACGGGTTTGTTCGAAGCAAACTGGATTAATGAAAGCACACAGAAAGTTGTCCCCCTCTTCTCTGGTTTGCTTGTCAGAAACATCCTCATCTGTGCTCAGATCCTCATCCTCCTGGCCTTCTGATTTCAACACCTAGACACATGAAGAGAAAGTTAATATCTTCAGGTCTAACTTTGCCTGTCAGTAGATAAAAATACATACAAGACAGAGAAACTGCCTGTGGCTGATCTCCTACTCTGTGCAAGTCGGTTACTAAACAGAGAATGAAGTATAAGGAAAATTGATCTGTAGATGAGAGAGAAATATTCCAACTGGGTTAGTGTTCTAAATCCTAAAACAAAGGAGATCTGACAAATGGGGAAATATACTTATTTGCTTTCTTGCCAAGCGTTGGATTACAAAATAGATACTAGTTTAAAACTTGTTAGCTAAGCTCATCAAAACACACCATGTGGAATTGGGGGTCGAAACTAAATGTCTCTGTCCAAAGGTAACCAAAATATCAGCTACCAGAACCTCAATAATTGTTTCAAAGGGATAGTTTGGATGTGTTGATTTGGGGTTGCCTGAGGTCATTCAGCCCACTATGAGTTGGGAGAAGCAGATAGAGGTTACGCCACTGAAGCCAAACCTACAGTGCTGTGGACAGAGGCGTCAGCTCGACGTATTCTAACTATATGAATGATATTTTCAGAATTGTTTTCCCACATTAACTTGCTGTTTGACAGATATACAGACAATGTTTCTGAAAGGGAACTAAATTCAAACTGAATCTAAGAATTATAAATATAACATACACTTATTCTGATATTGTTCTTTTTTTATTGGTCTTTCTTTCCGGTGGCTAAAATATGGGGTTGTGTTATACACTGATGGAGAAGTACCACATACAACCCCACTTTAAAACGTCCAAACTATCCCTTTAGATTGAAATGTGTCTGAAGCTTGCATATAACCTCACTCTGAGACAAATGGCTGCTTACCTTCTCTTCCTCCTCATTGTTCTCATCCTTAATAGTCTCAGTCTTGTTCAGGCAGCTCTCATTATAATGGAGTTCTTCCAACACATCCTGGCAGTCAACAGCATCCTCCAGCACCAATTCAGCCTCCGTGTAAGTACCACTTTGCTGGCTCTTAGAAGCCTCTTCTGCATACGCCTCTGATACTTGGTAAGAGTCCCACACAACTGCCACTTCCTCCGCGTCATCTGAAGTGGTGTGCTTGTTGTCTGGTACTTGGGTCTCACTCTTGAGATGAGGGTAAGGTGAAGATGTGTTTTCAGCAGCAGCAGAACGACGGTGCCTGACTTTGAGGTCACTCTGAATCAGACCAACATCTGATAAAACGTCATCACTCGCGTCTAAATGGGATATAAGAGGAAAGATTTTGAATTTATTTCTGGGTTCTACCTTTTAACATTTTTGTCTGACTTTATCAAAACAATGAATAGACTACTTGAAAGTGGTAAGTGCAAGATAAATGTATTCAGTTGTAACATTTGATAAGTATCTCTACTGGTTTACAAAAAGGTTTCTTGTTTTTCTCCACCTTTGTACCCTTTTATGAAAGGACAATACAGCAAATGATCTAATCACAGGGTAAGTAATCAATGCAATCAGCAACAACAACTTATTTGACCTGCCCCAAATCTCCTTTGTGTACCCCTATTACTCAATTGTATATTTGGCAATCTGAATTGATCAAGTAATGATCAAAGGTAATTTGATCAAATAACATTTGTACTATAGGGTTAGGGTTAGTTTAATACATAACAATGCATTACATATTCTAAGTTTATGAAATGTTTTGTTTTAAAAAATGTATTTGATAAGCATAGTTGCTCCAACAGACAGATAGCTTACTACAGTATGTAGTAATAATAGAAAGTACATTATTTCCCTTGTGGATTTTAGTATAGTAGAAGAATAAATAACCAGTAACCAGTTAATTCCACTGTCATAATGTAATAAAAGGTAAAAGTAGTAACTGCAACCTTAGTAGAACTTGAATTGAGTAGAAAGAAGTGTGGAAATACCTTACAAAGTAGTCAATGTTTTCATCACTGCCAACATGTAGCCTACTAACATTATTTGTTTTAGCTAAATATATCCGTTTATAAACCTATGAAGCTTTTACAGGGTTAATAATAGAGTTGTATAGTTATGTTTGACCTACAGTATCATTCCTGTAACCTAACTCACAATATATTAATAGTAACATGTGATGTACCCTTTCAAATGCATGGTGCCATTATGATATTTCAATATTCAAGATTCAAAGGCATTATTGTCCTATGCACAATATACTGACCTAGTGTTGACAATGCAAAGGCTATTTTATATTATTTTACCTTAGTGAAAGCAAAGGTCTTGAACACTCTCCTCATTATATACGTTATTATTCCGTTATGTGTGGATGTGTACCTGTTGACTGCACACAGCTGCGGGCTTCCTCCGGGCTCTGCTCCTGGACCCCCGCTGCGTCTCTCTCCTCTCCGGGGCTTTTGCCATCACCGTCTGCGGCCGGGGCCTTCCTCCTCTTCCCCCTCACGGTCCGGTAGATGACGAACCCCGCCAGCACCGACACGATCGCGATCACAGCCAGAGCCACGGCGGGACCGTGCCGCCCGATCATGCAGAAGAGAGACGCCAGGTCCATGCGTCTCTCCACGCCTACGGTGTTGCCGTTTTTCAGCGGCATTATGGCGGTCTGTGGTGGGAGTAATCTGCCCGAAGTGTGTGTCTGTATGTGCGTATGCAGGCCTGACTGATCGGCTGCGGGCTGTCGCTCTATCCTGCACGTAGTTTCAGTGTAGTGACCTCTTGTTGCTGCAGAGCTGCACACGGTGCAGGTGCGAGCTGCCCATTGGCTGGCTGGATCACGGGGACTCGGCATTCATTCATAAAAAGGGAAAGGAGCTGTTTATGCAGCCTGTTCCACACATCCAACTGAGAGGAGCAAACCGTGATCCACTGAGAGACAGTCTGATGACATCCTGTCTCAAAATAATGAATAGGATTTGGCCCTTCAAAGGGAAGGTTATTTGTACACCTCCGTTAAGGGTGTGTGTGCACAGTTTCTTAATCAAAATATATTTTTAAAGCCGAAGAAAAAAATATATGTTTTTACTTTTTATCTATTGACCTTGTTTGATCATTGCCTGAATCTACTTTGCTCAAAAAACAAACCATATCTCTTTATAGGCAGTATACGTGAACCACAAATAAATAATAAATACAAATAATATTGATGATGATAACCATAATTATAAATGAGGGTGTTTATAGCATAAATACATTATAATAAATACAAAACGAATATTTAGAAAATAAATCAAATTAATATACATAATCATAAAACATTTGAAAATTACAGTATTTTTTGTCAAAAAACCGAAACAAAGTAGGCTACTGTAATATAAAGAACATAGATATAGAATAGAGAAAATAAAATACAAAACATATTGTAACAAATATATAACTGTGATATGTACATTTTAAACTTTATTTAGAATAAGAGGGTTGTGCAGGTTTGTGCAATATGTAATGTTGTTCATGAGTACCGCCTTAGGAGTAAAATGGTTTGCTTTTTGATAAACGATGTGGCTCTACTGTACATATTCTAGTGTCAGTGATTTTCTTAGATCGATTAACAAATAATTCATAATGACAATATATAGATATATTCAAAATAAAATACAAATAAATACTTTTCTTTAGCATCAAAATCCAAGTAGAGATGTATCATAAAAATAGCTTCATGAACACACAGGAAAGATCCAGAAATCAGCGGAGTCACAGCTCCTCCCAGTGGAGAGATGGAGTAATAGCAAGAAAGTTCCTGAACACTCTGAAGCTCCTCCTGCTGGATATAAAAACTGGGACAGTCCCACTGCAGCGACAGAAATAAATACAGAGGAGAAGACACATTACAAGACTCAACACACTAAATTACATTCTTGTGACAGGCCTGAGAAGGATTTGGTGAGTGTCTTTTGCAAGGTGCTCTGATATAAGAAGTCTATATTAAAAGAAGAATGTGCACAGATCACATACATACAAATATGTACACTGAAACGTTTTTAACATTTTTTTGGGACATTGCAAACTCTGTGAAGGTTTTCCTCAGACAATTGCACAGGGATGTGAGGCTTAATACAAGTCAAATGAGAAACAATATCAGCTGATCAAAGTATATGAGTTACATTAAACCTTTGTAATGAGTTGTGATTTATTCTGTGTTTCTGTTTAACTGACATGTGATTGACAGTCCTCCTGATTGGCAGCAGATGCAGATCGTTAACTGAGATTGCTCTCAGCTGTGTTAGAGCAGCTTTTAAACTGTCATATTCCATATTCTGCACACTTACATTAGGGTGGTCCTTAAAATTGAAAGTCGGAAAGTCTAAGCTCCAACCCCCAGAATTCATTCTATTAGTCAAGAAAACTCTCCTGGTGAATTTCCTCAATCTGACAACATTTACCCCTCCCTCATCAACCTTGAAGTTTAGCCTCAGTTGCAGCACCGTGGCTGCTGCTGTGGCAGCCCAGGTCGATGAGGGAGGGGTAAATGTTGTCAGATTGAGGAAAACATTTGAGGCAAGAAATGGACAACGGAGTAACATCTTGATTATAATGATGATATATAATCTCCACTTCCTAACTTCTGCCTTAAAACACATTCACCTGTACACAGCTGCCTTGTGGGGAGAATATAAATTCACTATCATGAGGTGTGTTTTCACTGCATGGTACTGAATTTGACTCACCCACTTGCACACTGACTCATACAATTAGTTTATCTGCGAACATTTTTGAAATGTGAATCTTTGGTTTGATTCCATAACATGGCAAAAGGTATATCACAGTCCGCTGGCAATATTCCATTCCAACTTGCTTTTAGCAACACTCAGGGCCGGCCCTAGACTTTTGGGGGCCCTAAGCGAGCTTTGGCTTGGGGGCCCCCCTCACTCTAGTGCGTTCTCACTACACACAACACGGAACCAACTTTTGTCTTATGATGTTAGCATAAGCTCACATATTGTATAAATAAGCATGTAAACACCGTGGACCTAACCTCCTCTAGGGGGGTCCGGGGGCATGCTTCCCCGGGAAGATTTTTTTTTTAATATTGAAGTTAAAAGCATCAATCTGGTGCACTTTGAGAGCAAAATTAAGAGATCTATGGATACACCTCTCAACACCCATATGAAACAGAACTGTAAACAGATTTTTCTTTCTGGATATTTTACTAATCACTGCCCTTTTAAACTGTATTCTTGTTTTGTCATATAGTATTTCATGACTGTTTTACATTTATTCTCTCTGGCTGTCCATCTCATAATGTTCACATATAAACTAGCTGTCAATAGGAATATCATTCAGAAGAATTATAATTTCATGCAAAAATCTGTCACAAAAAGAGGTTGCACATTTAAATGCAGGTGTTGTTATGGCAACGTCAGTGGCCAAACAGCCACATTTACTGCTGCAAATACATTCAAACATGCTGTCGACACGTAAAGCAGTGGCAACTATGCCACCATTTCAGCTGACTTTTTCTCAGAAATACTGTCACATAACATCCATATATTTCAGTGCTAGGTTGATGCTTAGCTAAGCTAACTATGAAACACTTTAACTGACAGGACTTAGGATCAACTGTGTACTGTAAGGTAGCTTCTAGCTTCATGTCGAACAGTAAGTCAACATTTCCCAGAGAGCTTTCTTTGAAATCACCAGGTAACGCTAAAAAACATAACATTTAGATTGTATGACAAAGTGTTTATTTAATATATCTGGCTAGTTATAGCTACTTGCTAACGGTTTAGCTTACCCCCACGATTCAAAGTAACTTCAACGTAGCTGTAATTTATGCTTTGCTTACATGTTCGCATAACTTGGAAGTTTACTGACTTTTACATACCTTGTTTACCTGGCTCAAGTACTGGCTCTGGGGTTGTTGTGTGAGCCAAAGAAAAATCTTCTTATGTCCATCTTCAAAAACTCTGAGTCCGACTGACAGTTTATTTTAAACATTGTCACAGCTCACAGGATAGGTACCTGTCATCCAATAAGACAGATGTTTATTTCCATTCAACTCTCTGGTTGTTCTGGTGTCTTGCCTCTGTTGCATTCACTAAACACGGGAAAGTACAATCCTGCCGTCCTCTCTAGTGTCATGATGAGGTTCAGGTAAAGCACGGTTAATGTATTATATTATTGACTCAATAATATAATGACTTTGAGAGTAGGCAATCTAGGCATATTAACAAAATTAATTAAACATATACTTATCACGGCGATGGTAGGGGGGCTAGGGGGCCCTTAGTGGCTGTGGGGCCCTAAGCGGCCGCTTATGTTGCTTAATGGGTCGGGCCGGCTCTGGCAACACTGTATATGCAATGAAATGACTGAGCAGAAATGATTTTCACATGGTCGACAAGTAACAACTGTATTTGAAACACTGTTAGACTAATTTCCGCCACAAGATGTCAGGAGTTCTCAGGTCAACTTTAACAATGTCCCAACCGCACTCAGCTTAACAGTCTGAAGTCTTTCATTTCCAGCTGTTTGGTGTAAATGTCATCTGGATACTGAGTCATGTAGAATAATCAAAGGCTCAACTAGCAGCTGAAAGCCCCGACACCCTCGGTGATGCTCCCTGTCATTGGTGGGAATGTACGAACACTTAAAAAACTATGTATTTTCTGTTGTTACAAACAGGGTATAAGCTTGACCCTGTCGAAATGATCTGTTGATGTTAAGCTCTCTGACCTGATGTTATATCCTGAATTTATTTCCTTTCTTCCAACCACATTCCCACTTCTTCAAACCTGTTCATGTACATGTTCTACCTTTCCTCCAAACTCTTGACTCCGCCTCCATTCCCTTCCCTTCCCCCCTTTCCTCCCCACCTGCTTCAAATTGTCCCCAATCAGTCAATGGTTTCAATTTCCACTCTGTTTGTCTAGCCATTACCTGCCTGTGAACTGATTTATCCTATAAATCATTCCACACAATCACTTGTTGTATCTTCTGTGCTTCAGAAAATAGAGGATACCTTTGTCCCTCCATTGTAAAATGTGGAACGTCACAGTTCATCGCCAATAATAAGTAAAAATAAGAATAGGTTATACATAATGATGTTTTATGTCACATCGCTAGGGAAGTAAGTGTGCTACAATGTTAACATTTGTCAAAGTCTTCAGGCATCTACAAATGGCTCAAATTAAACAGTCTGATCAGAAAAAGTGGCTCATTGGTTGAATAGAGTCTATATAAATCCAAATCAACCCTCCTGGTATCCCAATCATTCTCCATCACCAATTAAAAAAAACCTTCATAAACAATATTAGCTAACACTGTACAATGAAACATTATTAATGACCTCTCCCACCCTTTTCCCCCCCTTATGTTGTTTACAAGTGAATGTCAACTATTACCACGGGTGCTTGGGCTCTCCCTGGCTCCCGTCTGGCTGTCAGGGCTTTTCTTTCCCAAGAATAGACGGATTGTCCCGTAAACGTGGCAGCACAGGGGCGGAGGAGGGAGAAAAACGACTTTAGGGACCTACTCCGCTTTTGTTTTATTTTCTATGTAAAGTGCTGACTGAATGCCTATTCCCTAGATCTTTAAATATCAGCCGTTGCCCTCCTGTCCTCGTTTCATCCCTCCATATCTTGCAGTTTGCCTTTAAATACTTTGATCTCCCATCATCTGCTTTAATATGGCCTCCTCTTAGTCTTCACCTCCCTCATCCCATCATAT